ATACTTTGATTCTCTCCTACTGGCAATCATTATTATTATAACTAGTTCATTTGAAAAGATAATTTAAATGCTAAGCATATACACATTGTACTAAGCAATGGTAACACAATCAAGAGCAACACAGATACATATTATATTTGATATCATTTTGATGCAAAGAATCCAACAATGGCACCAACACCAGCTCCGACTGCTCCACCAACCACAAACCCAACTGGACCAGCAAATGATCCTACAACAGCTCCAGTTTGTATCCCAGCAGCAACACCTCCTACTCCAGTTACTGCTCCAACCCCAGCGCCTATGGCTATGTCTCTTCCTTCATTTGATGTGTTTCCACTTTTGAAGATGATAAGATTAAATAAGAGTATAATGGACTTACCTCATTTTTATTCTCTTAGTTAGTAATGGCAGGCTTCCTTACTCTGCTTATGGCCAGCTAATTTTTTGAGCCAACTGGTTTCTTTTCTAATTATTAATATTATCACTTCGTTGGCGAGAGTTTTCCCTGGGTAATCCCCTAATGCTGTTTACTTTACCGGTAATATCGTAGGCTGTGCCCATTTTAAAGTTGACACCCATCTTTATACAGTGGGAGTAGTTTGCTACCAATGTGGTATAGGTTGTGTCGATAAATGAATACTGTTCCTGTAATGGTCTTTATACAGTACTTGGTAGTTGCATTTTATGATAGCTCTTTTTTGTATGTTGTTACATGTACATGTACTTACTGTGTACGTGTGTGTTGTATTTGAGAGATTGTGTCTGTGTTTGTGCTAGAACCTGATTGCATGTGTATTCTTTCATTGCTAGAAATTCAATATCATTTGTGCAGTAGCTGCCAGAAACAATTTAACTTGAGCATGAAATTTTGACTAATGCAAAACTTTTGTTACAATTATAAAATAGCAGCAAGGATAAAAAAATCATATAAAAGTTATAAGCACTGATATTTTTTATCAGCATTCATATTATCAGGACCCCATGACACTGTTATAGGTTCTGCTTTTGTTAAATGCAGTAAGAAGCCAAACCACATGTTATACGTATCAAGAACTTTTCACATTTGGTGTAGTTTCTTTTATTCTTGCGACTATAAAGATTATTAGAGGACACTGTATTAGTAAAAGTCGCTTACGGTGGCATTTTAATGGCTTGCTGTTATCAAAATACTAGTTCTTTTCCTTGTACTTTATTAGTTTCTTCAGCGTCTCTTCTTCTGTATTGCTTGAACTAAGGTGCTTTCCCTCCTCTTTGCATATTTTGTTATCATTTGTGTCAGCTGATTTTAATATTGCTCACGTGATAGGGGAAGCTTGCATGACTCTCGACAATGTCACTTTAATCTTTTGGAAACCTTTGAAAATCACATTGTTTTTAAACCTCATGATGGAACCATACATTTGTATAGTACATTCATCTTATGTCATACTCTTTGTAAAAAATGAAACCAAAATATTAAGAACATAACACAAGCATAATGTATATTTAAGAAGAATTTATTATTATGCTATAAGCCCAACAACAGCACCAACACCAGCTCCAACCAATCCACCGACCAGAGTGCCAGGAGGTCCAGCAATTGATCCTACAGTGGCTCCAGCTCCCCCTCCAATCAATGCACCTATGGCCATATTTCTTCCTTTATTTGATGTATTGCCTCTATTGAAGACGATAAAAGCTAAGTAATAGATTAGCTTACCCTGGCATTTTGGTTTAAAATGATGAGGCTCATTACTACTCTGTTTATGACTGTTTTGAAAGTCGGAATTTTTTGTTTTTTTTTAAATACTTTTACTTCGCTTGCCGTGAGTTTTCCCTGGGTAATCCCCAAATGCTGTTTACTCTACCGGTAATATCGTAGGCTGTGCCCATTTTAAGGTTGACACCCATCTTTATACAGTGGGAGTAGTTTGCTATCAATGTGGTATGGGTTATGTCGATAAATGAATACTGTTCCTTTATATAGTACTTGGTGGTTGCATTTTACGATAATTCT